GGAAAGTGATGGCGAACCTAAACAGCATGATAAAAAGTAGAGACATCACTCTGCCAACAAAAGTCCGCATGGTCAAAGCAATGGTATTCCCAGTAGTCATGTATGGCTGCGAGAGTTGGACTATAAGGAAGGCCGAGCGCCGAAGAATAGATTCTTTTGAACTATGGTGCTGGAGAAGACTCTTGAGAGTCCCTTGGACAGCAAGAAGATCAAATCAGTCGATCCTAAAAGAAATCAACCCTGACTGTTCCCTGGAAGGCCAGATAATGAAACTGAAGCTCAAATACTTTGGCCACCCAATGAGAAGGGAGCACTCACTGGAGAAGAAGACCCTGATGCTGGGAAAGACTGAAGTTCAAAGAAGACGGGGACGGCAAAGGATGAGATGGTGAGACAGTGTCATAGATGCAACGAACATGAAGTTGAGCCAACTTCAGAGGACGGCGGAAGACAGGAGGGCCTGGCGGGAGCTGGTCCATGGGGTCGTGAAGAGTCGGACTCGACTGTGCGACTGAACAACAACAAAAACCGTTCTTCGGTCAAGGGTAATATATATGTTATAATGTAGTATTCTGCTTGGCTAAGATGGTCGGGAGGATATTTAGGAGAAAGGTCTTCAAACATCTTCGTCATGTGACATGTTAATTTGTTGCTCAGCCCCTGTCGGTAAGTTTGAACCTTACCTCTCATTCCACTGTGTTTGAAAAAGTGCGCGTGCACACAAAAGCTCGTGCCTTGAATAAACCGTTGTTGACCTGAAAGGTGCCGCTGGACTCTAAATCTGTTCCCCTCGAATAGACGGAATGAGCTACGCAAGCACAAAAAGCAGCCAGTGCCGTCTGTCCAACGCCGGTCATTTAAAAGACACAGTCAATTGAACAGGTGCAACTCTGGGTTGGAGATTTGGGGGGGCGGAGCCTGGGTAGGGCGGGGTTTGGGGAGGGGAGGGACCCCAGAGGAGTACAAGGCCACAGAGCCCGCCCTCCAAAGCAGCCGTTTTCTCCCGTTGAAATGATCTCTGTCGTCTGGAGATGGAGCTGTAATTCCAGGAAACCTTCGGGCCCCACCAGGAGGGTTGGTAGCCCCATTCCACATGGAGCATGCGTGGCTTGTGGAAAAAAAGGGGTTGCCTGTCACACGGCTTGCAGGGTGGGCGATCCATAAATCCGATAAAACAAATAAACCAGGCGTTAGAGAGGGAGGAAGGGGCTCAGGAGGCACCAAAACTCTCAAATCCAACTTCACATTGCTGAAGTAGAACTATTGTGTTATGCACCCAGGGCTCACGTTATCTCTCTCTAAGTGATGACGACTTTCTCCCTGAGTTATTTTATTAATTTTATTAGATATATATATTGCCCTCCCCAGATGGGCTCAGGGCAGTGTACAGCAGTTAAATAATACACTTAAAGTTTTTAATTACATATAAACAGGGGTCATTTCCTGCGGGAGCGCACAGGAGCGGAGCTCCGGCAGTAAGGAGCCCAAGGGGTGGGCACATGCAACAAGCCCCGCCCCCTGCTCCCAGCAGCCCTCAGTCGGGCCACGAGGAGCAAGAAGCAGCCAGATAAGTTGCAGAGGCCCCCCCTGGCCCGCCTTCACGTACAAGCTCTCCCTCCTCTGCGAGGACAGATCTGCACGTCCCCCCCCCAATAGCTTGCAATCCAAAACAGTCCAGTGGAGCCTGAGCAGTGGGTGTTGCCTTCTGACACACTTCCGGCGATGTCCGGGGGTGTGACATATGCAAACGAGTTATGCTAATAAATTATGCTAATGAGCTCCTGAACCTCTTTTTCTATGAAATGACCTCTGCATATAAATATCATAAAATACCATGTAGGCATAAAACGATCAGATGACTAATCCAGCTCAGGCCATTGATGGACAATTGACCAGAAATGTTGGGCCAGAAGAACTAAGGCCAGAGAAGCTGGGGGGAGGCAGTCTCGTAGGTATGCTGGCCCCAGGCCATAGACCATCGATGACAGATCCTGCCATCTTCCCTGTGGAACACTCCCCCCTCCAGGTGACTTACAGCTCTGCTTGGCTGTCCTGATGCTCAGGAAAACAAAGAAGGTGTAGGCGTTCTTCTTGTCCAGGTAGATTTGGGGGGGCAGCTTATGCCGGGCCTTCACTTTGTAGACTTTGACATACTGGTCCATGTCGACGTAGACGCCTCCAGAAGAGTTCCTGTTCCCCGCCACGTAGAAGTAATACTCCTGGAAAGCAGAAGGTGTGTGTTTATTGGGGGGGGGGAACGTGCTCGATTTAGGCTTACTATCCATCCTATCCGTGGGAGGTGAAATTCACGGGGTGAAATTCATGGAGTTCATGGGGAGGTGAAATTCTGCACCCAAATCATCCAAAACAAGGGAAGCTGCAGCACGTAGAAAAGGCTTATCCACATTCGCATCTCCCTTGTTTGTCAGTTCCTGTTTCCGTTGTGCGGGGTCTGTTTCGCACATTTTGCTCCCTCTAGTGGTCGATTTGATATCACACAGGTTTTTGTCCAGGATATCTCCCGGCAGATTTAAACTGTGGGGTTTTTCAGCCAGACGTAAACCGCTGTGATATCGAACTGGCCATTAGAGGGAGCAAAACACACGCCACACAGAAAAAGAACCCCTGAAGAAACAGGAACTGACAAGCGAAAAAAGTGAGAACGCAGAAAAGCTAGAGGATGTGGTGGAAGTCTCTTCAAGTGCATAATTTATTTTCCAACGTTTATCATGTTGCGTCATTTATCCTGCTTCTGCAACTTCTGGGGAAGGGCAAGGAGGGGTGCGAAAGCAGCTGGAAGTGACCTTTTTTCTGCAGGAAAACAGCATGAGGAGGAAAGGGGGTAACGCCACCCCTCGTGCTACTCTCATCCTCGGGGGGGGGGGGACAGTCCTTTTCAGCTTGGTTTGCAAAAGGGAAAAAGTGCCCTTTTTTAAAATAACCACTGGACTGCATGTTCTGGACAGTTTTGCCCAGAGCTGAGCTTAAAAGAGCAGACAAGGACTGTGTGTATCTTTCCAGCAGCATCAGGAAAAGCATACAGCGAGCTCTCCTGCCCCCTCTGCCCAATGCAACCCCCCCCATTTCTGATTTCTTCCCTGGCTTCAATCCAATGCCAAACTGTCTCTTTCCACCACCCCCCCATGACACAAACAAGCTGTGGGGGCAGGGACCAACAGCTACTACCAGGACAAAACCTTTTCACTAGCGCTCGAAACATCAACCGGCCATCAGTGCCCTCCAGCAAGCAGAAACATCAGCCGGTCATCAGTGCCCGCCAGCAAGCAGAAACATCAGCCAGCCGTCAGTGCTCGCCAGCAAGCAAAAAATCAGCCGGCCATCAGTGCCCGCCAGCAAGTAGAAACATCAGCCGGCCATCAGTGCCTGCCAGCAAGTAGAAACATCAGCCGGCCATCAGTGCCTGCCAGCAAGTAGAAACATCAGCCGGCCATCAGTGCCTGCCAGCAAGTAGAAACATCAGCCGGCCATCAGTGCCTGCCAGCAAGTAGAAACATCAGCCGGCCATCAGTGCCTGCCAGCAAGTAGAAACATCAGCCGGCCATCAGTGCCTGCCAGCAAGTAGAAACATCAGCCGGCCATCAGTGCCTGCCAGCAAGTAGAAACATCAGCCGGCCATCAGTGCCTGCCAGCAAGTAGAAACATCAGCCGGCCATCAGTGCCTGCCAGCAAGTAGAAACATCAGCCGGCCATCAGTGCCTGCCAGCAAGTAGAAACATCAGCCGGCCATCAGTGCCTGCCAGCAAGTAGAAACATCAGCCGGCCATCAGTGCCTGCCAGCAAGTAGAAACATCAGCCGGCCATCAGTGCCTGCCAGCAAGTAGAAACATCAGCCGGCCATCAGTGCCTGCCAGCAAGTAGAAACATCAGCCGGCCATCAGTGCCTGCCAGCAAGTAGAAACATCAGCCGGCCATCAGTGCCTGCCAGCAAGTAGAAACATCAGCCGGCCATCAGTGCCTGCCAGCAAGTAGAAACATCAGCCGGCCATCAGTGCCTGCCAGCAAGTAGAAACATCAGCCGGCCATCAGTGCCTGCCAGCAAGTAGAAACATCAGCCGGCCATCAGTGCCTGCCAGCAAGTAGAAACATCAGCCGGCCATCAGTGCCTGCCAGCAAGTAGAAACATCAGCCGGCCATCAGTGCCTGCCAGCAAGTAGAAACATCAGCCGGCCATCAGTGCCTGCCAGCAAGTAGAAACATCAGCCGGCCATCAGAAGCAGAAACCTCAGCCAGCCATCAGTGCCCTCCAGCAAGCAGAAACCTCAGCCGGCCATCAGTGCCCGAGACTGAAGGTAAGCTGAGCATGTGCGAGAAAGTACTACAGAAAAACATGCCCGTTTAAAAGGCATCCTGTTAACCAGAGCTCCGGCCTGAGATGTCAAACAGTTCCTATCAGAGTTATGTGCGACCTCACTCCCTGACGCTTTTGTTCTTGGCTCCGCCTCTTACGGCAGCCATTTTGTGCTTGCACCCACCATTCTGTCTCAGAAGTCCAAAGGTGCTCTCGGGCTCAAAAAGGGTCAGGGACCAGTCTTCCTTCTAAACTGAGCTAGTGTGAGCTAGCTCACAATTTTTTTTGCCTCCGGCTCACACATTCTTGTCTTCGCTCAGGAAGGAGGGCTCCAGAGCCAACTCATTGATGCAGCAGCCAAACCGCTCGCTCTCAGCTTTAAGGCCAGTAGCTCACAAAGTAGAATTTTTTTCAATTCAATTTGATTTATTACGATCAAAGATCAGCAAATACCTTAAAATGTTACATATAGTAAAATACACCCGGACAGTTGGTACAGGTAAAAAATTTAGTTAAGACAACGTGGATTTTAAAATTTCCTAAGAAGTAATAGTCTTCTGTCTGGTTAGGATAGCCACAGCGCAAAATCTTGCTACCTTAGCAGTAGTTTCATTACAAATATCAGCTAAAAGAAGAGTAGAATAAAACTGATTTGACCGGCCTGGGTAGGCGACAATTATTGGCGTAATATATGTAGAACGAATCTCATGATAAAATCGACATGATAACAGAACGTGCTCAATTGTCTCTAGAATTACAAGAACATACAATTAAGAATAATAGACAATAATTAAACAATAGTACTGATGAGCTTCATGATGTTTTAATCCTTGTTTTTCAACAATAGGGCGCCACCAAACAGAAGATGATGACGTCAAGATGAACGGACGAACCTCCCGAGTTACCGTTCGTTTCGAAGTTTCTTTATCAAACAGGTCTCAGTTCAGCGTTCTTGTGCAATAAAGTCAACCACAAGGGTGTTCTTAAATTCAGATAACTTCTTCCACAGCTCTTTGCTAACAGTTACACCTTTCAATCGGACAACTGTTAGCTGAACTGAGCAGAGTAGTAATTTTTGCTCACAGGACTCCACATCTTAGAGGGAGCATTGGTTGGGGACCCCTGCCTTAGCAGCATCCCCGTTTAAGACAAGGGCTTAAATTAACCAGCGGGAGGGGAACTGTGTTCCCGAGACTTCTGTAGGAAGACCGTTTCCTTACCGCATCTTGTTCCTTGTTCTTCCACCAGCGCCACGTGGGGTCATGGACGGGGTCCGCGTAAGGCTAGGGACAGACGTGGCTCAGTCAAAAAAAATGGAGTTTAAAAACAAGAGGAAACAAAACGGTTGCTCTTCCCGCCTAGGAATGCAGAAAGTAGGGCTGACCGCTCAAAGCTGGGAAATTCCTGGAGATTTGGGAGCGACGCCGGGGGGGGGGCAATTTGGGGAGGGCGGAGAGCTCGGTGGAGAAATAATGGCACGCAGTCCACCCTCTGAAGGTGCCATTTTCTGAACTGATCTCAGTAGTCTGGAGATCAGATGTGATTCCGGGAGAGCGCCAGCCCCCACAGCCCAGCAAAAAAAGCCAAACTGAAGCAAGATAGACTGAGACCGATTTCCCACAAGCCGCTGCTCCGCCCTCACTCTTCCCCCCCCCCCCGATTGTATGCGTCAATTTCCCACTATTTGCTGTGCGGCCGCATTTTGACCCGCAGCTTTGCCCAATTTCCCCCGCGTCTCCCGGATCCTCCAAAAACAGGCTCCACCACTGACACGGCGGCCTGAAGGAGTCAGAGGAAACGGACAGCAACCTAGGTGATCCGTGGTCGCTTCTTTTGTGACTGTGTCTGGAGACACAGAGGGAGTGGTTGAGAACGTCTGTGAAAAATGATTGTAACAAAAAAAAGAAGTAATTTTTAAGGGCACTATTTGTTGTCTAATACTTTTGTACAGGGCTTTTTTGGTAGAAAAAGCCCAGCAGGAACTCATTAGCATAATAGGCCACACCCAACAGCACACTCATTAGCATATTAGGCCACACCCCTGACAACACAGCTCATTAGCATATTCGGCCACACCCCCATACCTTCCCTTGGCTTGCCTGAGCACCCTGCGGCTGCGGGGAGCCCGGGCAACCTGGCCCTTGGACAGGCCAGGGAAGGCACGGGGAGGCATTTAAATGCTCACCCACCTCGGAGTTGCCAGGGGGGTCACTCTCCAGGCCTTCCCTCTGTAGCCACACACGCAGAGGTTTTGGCTGTAGTGGGTGTGGCTAACTCTGAAGCCAGCCGGAACGCCGTTCCTGTGCGTTCCCGCCCAGAAATAGCCCTGCTTTTGTACAGTTTTGTTTGGTGGTTTGCCCACCTGGAAGTTGGCAACTATGTTTTCATTTTGGGGTGGGGTGGGTCAGATACCAGATCGTGGGGCTGCCAGCCTCCAGGCGCCACCGGGAGATCTCCCACAATTACGAATGATCTCCGGACAACCAAGAACAGCTCCTCTGGAGAAAATGGCTGCTTTGGACTCTGTGGCATTATACCTTGCTGAGGTCTCTCCCCCTCCCCAAACCCCGACATCCCCAGACTCCAGAATCTCCAGGCATTTCCCAACCCAGAGTTGGAAACTCTAGGTCTGAGACACCTGGAGGGGGAGCAATGGCCAAATCAGCCTCCAGGTCTGAACAGGGACCTAGGATTCTTCTCTCAGGACAGAGGCTAATTTCCCGCCCCCAGGCATTTGCTCTTCTGCTCTCATCAAGCTGATCCCAATGTGCTTTGTGCCTCTGCCTCCTACCCCCATATATACCAGCCCAAGTTCTTTGGAGAAGGGGATGCCGTGCAGGAAGTTCTTGGAGATAAGTGGCCCCCAACACACACAGATTCTGCCAGCCTGGCTCTTAAAATTTCTCAGGAAACACCCGAGAATAAGCTGAAAATGGACATTCTCAGGACTCAAGACGAGAACAGGCAATTTTCAGACAGAGAAGCTCCAAGGGGAGATTACAACGTGAGAGATGGCTGAACGTGGAATTCACAGATTCGGAACGATGGACTCCCTCCCTCAAGGTCTGAATAGGGACACAGGATTCCTCTCTCACGACAGAGGCTAATTTCCCGCCCCCCCCTCATTCAGCTGATCCCAATGTGCTTTGTGCCACTGCTTCCTGAGTTCCTTCTCTGCAACACCACTCCCGCCTTCCGAATGGGATATCAGGAGGACGCGGAGATCTCTGATCCTGCTTGTCTCTGAGCTGCCGGTGGTCTCAAATCGAGCTCTTCCACGGCAGACCGACGCGGCTACCCTCTGAAACGGCCCTAAGGAGAGCTACACCTTTTTCAAGGCCCCTGGCTTCGATGAGAAGGGTGTAGCTCTTCTTAGGACTACAGGGGGAGATTCTGCATTGGCTTTTCCGTCTGTTGTTTGAACAAACCCACGTTGGAACAGAAATTCCCCTCTGCATTGCATGCTGCTTTCGCTTTCTTTGATCATCGGATTTTATGGTATCCTGTGCACTGCATGCCGCTGTCGCTTTCTTTAGTCATTGGGTTTTATGGTATCCTCTGCACTGCCTGCCGCTTTCACTTTCTTTGATCATCGGATTTTATGGTATCCTGTGCACTGCATGCCGCTGTCGCTTTCTTTAGTCATTGGGTTTTATGGTATCCTCTGCACTGCCTGCCGCTTTCACTTTCTTTGATCATCGGATTTTATGGTACCCTCTGCATTGCATGCTGCTTTCGCTTTCTTTGATCATCGGATTTTATGGCACCCTCTGCATTGCATGCCGCTGTAGCTTTCTTTGATCATCAGATTTTATGGTATCCTCTGCACTGCATGCCGCTGTCGCTTTCTTTAGTCATTGGGTTTTATGGTACCCTCTGCACTGCATGCCGCTTTCACTTCCTTTGATCATCGGATTTTATGGTACCCTCTGCACTGCATGCCGCTGTCGCTTTCTTTGATCATCGGGTTTTATGGTACCCTCTGCACTGCCTGCCGCTTTCACTTTCTTTAGTCATTGGGTTTTATGGTACCCTCTGCACTGCATGCCACTGTTGCTTTCTTTGATCATCGGCCCTTCTGCATAGATTTATGGTCATTCAGGGGTGACTTCGCAGTCATTATGGCGTTGCCCTGGGGTATCTGAATGTGGTTCTGAGCTGCACCTTTGGTAAAACAGCGGAGGGAAAAGCCAATGCGAAATCGCCCATGGTAACAAACTATAAGCTGGAATCTAGGCTCCCGCAGGCTGTGGGAGAGTCGGGACCAGTGACGCCCCCCGCGCACGCAGATGCCCCCGCACACTCCAGTGGGCTGTAGGGATCCCCAACACTGTTCTCACTCTGTTGTACGCGGAGTGCAGCCAGAGCAGCTGGAAGATCAGGCCCTGGTACACGGCCAGTGACTTCGGGTCGTGGAACATGGTGGGGTCCATGACGTTCGGCGGCTCAGCACGGTAATTCTCCATCCGAGTGAAGCGCTGCGGGAGAGGCTGGTCCACAATGCGCATCACGGCAAACGGGCAGCGGTGGGTGAACTGGATGTATTCTTTTCCACTGAGGATCGAGAAGAAGAAGAGAAGAGATTGGATTTATACCCCGCCCTTCACTACCCGAAGGAGTCTCAGAGTGGCTTACAAACTCCTTTCCCTTCCCCTCCCCACAACAGACACCCTGTAAGGTAGGCGGGGCTGAGAGAGCTCTCCTGAGAACTGTCCTTGAGAGAACAGCTCTGACAGAACTTGTGACTGACTCAAAGTCACACCAGCAGCTGCATGTGGAGGAGAGGGGAATCAAACCCGGTTCTCCCAGATTACAGTCCGCGCTCCTAACCACTGCACCAACGGAGCAAAGAAACAAGAAAGGGGGTTCCTAAACATCCGTCGGAATCCCATCTCAACCTCTCCCGAAGCACCTGCTTTCAGGGGTACCAGGGGGGAAAGCTCATTTAATTTGTAGTGTGGCCCGATATTTTGTTTTGCATACCGCAGCGGGTCCCCGACCTTTTTGAGCCTGCAGGACCTTTGGGATTCTGAGACGGTGCGGTGGGCACAGCCACCAAATGGCTGCCACAAAACGGCTGCCTCAGCTTGCCTTCAGTCACACCGTGAAGTTCCTTGTGCTGTGCTGGCAGCTGCCGCCAAAGCGGTGCTTTTAAAAATCGGCACAACCGATTGGAAGCCTCGCTGGGCAAAAGGCCCACGTGGTCCCGCCGATTTCTAAACACGCCTGGCGGGCACAAGGGAAGGGGCTGGTGGGCAGGGCACCAGGGCTATTTTTGGGCAGGAACGCACAGGAACAGAGTTCCGGCTGGCTCCCAAGTTGGCCACACCCAGCAGGAACCCATTAGCATAATAGGCCACACCCAACAGCAGAAACTCATTAGGATTGGCTACGTTAGGGGTGTGTGGCCTAACATGCAAAGGAGTTCCTGCTACCAAAAAAGCCCTGGGTTCTGACCACAAACAAGGTAAACAGAATAAGAAGCAAAAGGTGGGTGTGTGGGTGTGGCTGGATGACCACACTTCTGGTAACATGGGAATGCGGCTTAATATGCTAATGAGCGGTGCAGTCAGGGGTGTGGCCTAATATGCTAATGAGTTTCTGTTTCTGGGTGTGGCCTATTATGCTGAGTTCCTGCTGGACTTTTTCTACAAAAAAAAGCCCTGGTGGGCACCATGGCACCACGTTGGGGACCCCGCTGTACAGTATTATCATTGTCGTTTTCTGCCTTTTGGCCTGAAAGGGGTCCGGTGTTACTTTTTAAATGTCCAAGTAGAAGCCGTTTATACCAGCATGTGGCAAAAAGTGTGTTCTGGGACGCTCCAGCTTGTTTTCTTTGCCAGCCTCCCCCACCTGGACTGTACCGCAAGCGTTGCTCTTTTTGAAGCAGGAGCTCCTTTGCATATTAGGCGACACCCCCCCAATGTAGCCAAATCCTCCAAGAGCTTACAGTAGCCCCTGGAAGAAGAGCTCTGTAAGCTCTTGGAGGATTGGCTACATTGGGGGGGTGTCGCCTAATATGCAAAGGAGTCCCTGCTACACAAAGAGCCCTGAAGGCTAGTTTCTTCATGTAACAGAATCAGACAGTGAAGCGGTTCTTGGACTATACCACGTCAGGGCAGGGGGAACAGGGTCCCATATTTGAATGATCCCCCTACGCCACTAACCCTATGCCCTCCGCCTGCCTCGGAGGGGAGGGCGAGGGATAAATCAAATAAATACATAACAAACTCCCTGCAGTTTATGTCTGGCATATCTCCCTGCAGATTTAAGCTGTAGGTTTCTATGCTGGACATAAACTGTTGTGATATCGAATCGACCACTAGAGGGAGCAACACACGCACAGAACAAAAACCAACAACGCAAACGCAAAGAAATAGGAACTTACAAGCGAGGAAAACAAAAATGCAGAAAAGCCTAAATTCACATGAGAAAGCTTTTCTCTTGGTTGAAGAGCTGGGCCAAGCTCACAGTCTATCGAGTCTACACAGATGGGGCCTGGCGATCTCCCACTATTATCACGGATCTCCAGACAACAGAGCGGGCGGACTCTGTGGCACTGTGCCCTGCTGAGGTCCCTCCCCTCCCCAACCCCTCCCCTCCCCTGGCTCCGCCTCCGAATCGCCAAGGATTTCCCAACCCAGAGCTGGCAGCCCTAAAACCATAGGTGGTACCAATGACCTTTGTTTGCAGGAACCGCTCAGAAAGAAGGAGGAGGAGGAGGAGGAGGAGGAGGAGACTGGATTTATACCTGTCCCTTTACTTGGAGACTCAGAGCAGCTTACATCCTTATTATCCCTTCCCCTCCCCACAGCAGACACCCTGTGAGGCAGGTGGGGCCAAGAGAGCTCTGACAGAAACGACTCTTTCAGAAACAGCTCTGACAGAACTATGGCTTGCCCAAGGTCATCCAGCAGGTGCAAGTGGAGGAGTGGGGAATCAAACCCGGCTCTCCCAGATCAGAGTCCGTGCACTTCACCGCGACAGCAGAGGGCAGGACATTCCAGTCTATGGAAAAGCAAACAGGCTATTCAGTCCCTTCCAGCTAGGCTTGCCAGACCCCAAGTTGGGGCGGGGGATCCACTGATTTTTGCAGGCTCCAGCAAACAGACGTCCCCCACACAACACTGGTGACGTGCTGATGCCACTTCCGGAAGTGACGTCATCTGGAAGTGACGTCATCGTGTCAGCGATGTCGGGGGCGACACTCTACCTTTTGGGCAAAACTCTGTGGTTTGGGGCTGTTTTTACCATAGAGTTTTGCCCAAAAAGCAGAGTGTTGCTCCGATGCCGCCGATGCGATGAGGTCACTTCTGGGAGTGATGTCAGTGTGTTGCCGACATCTCCGCCCACCCCTGAAATGCCCCCCAAATCCCCCCGCCGACAGTAGGAAGGCACCTGGCAACCGTACTTCCGGGCCTCACAAAAGCGGGCATAACCAGGACTATTTTGGGGCATGAACGCACAGGAATGGGGTTCTGGCTGGCCCCCAAGTTGGCCACGCCCAGCAGGAACTCATTAGCATAATAGGCTACACCCAACAGCAGACACTCATGAGGATTGGCTACATTAGGGGTGTGTGGCCTAACATGCAAAGGAGTCCCTGCTACAAAAAAAGGCCCTGGGTTTTGACCACAAACAAGGTCAACAGAATAACAAGCAAAAGGTGGGTGAGGCTGGATGACCACACTTCTGGTAACACGGGGGTGTGGCCTAATGTGCTAATGAGTTTCTGCTGTTGGGTGTGGCCTATTATGCTAATGAGTTCCTGCTGGGCTTTTTCTACAAAAAGAGCCCTGGATAACCATTCCTGAAAAAAAAAAGGGAACAAGTTTAAAGCCGATGCCACGCCATGGGCGTTCCACTCACTCGTACGTCATCTGGTGGTAAGGGGCACTGATCAAGTGCCGGTACGTCAGGACGTGGTGCAGGGGGACTCTCCTCTTGATCACCCTCGCATTGCCATCTTTATCCTCTAAATAGAGCAGCTGAAAGAAGGGGGAGGAGAGACTGATGGGCCCAGGCAGTTTGCTCCAAAAAAGGAAATCCTTACCTGCTGAATTTCTGGTCTTCTCGTGGATGTTATTCAACAGAGGGAGTCCAGTTACCTAGGACTGGAAGGGGGGGGGGGGAACGAAAGTATTTGCCAGAGAGGAAGGAACTTCCCTCAAGCTCCCGGACCTCAACAGAAAAGACCTATAAAACCCTGAAACTATGGAAACAGAACTGTAATATCCATTCCCTTTCATTTATTAGCTTCATTGACCCGAGGTCTTAAGCCAAACATACAAACAGCAACTATAAAATGCATTACATATAATCAGGGCTATTTTGGGGCAGGAACGCACAGGAACGGAGTTCCGGCTGGCTCCCAAATTGGCCACGCCTAGCAGGAACTCATTAGCATAATAGGCCACACCCAACAGCAGACACTCATTAGGATTGGCTACATTAGGGGTGTGTGGCCTAACGTGCAAAGGAGTTCCTGCTACAAAAAAAGGCCCTGGGTTCTGACAACAAACAAGGTAAACAGAATAAGAAGCAAAAGGTGGGTGTGGCTGGATGGCCACACTTCTGGTAACATGGAGGCCTAATATGCTAATGAGCTGTGCTGTCAGGCGTGTGACCTAATATGCTAATGAGTTTCTGCTGTTAGGTGTGGCCTATTATGCTAATGAGTTCCTGCTGGGCTTTTTCTACAAAAAAAGCCCTGCCATATAATTACAAGATATTTTAGACCAAACGTCTTTACAATAAAAGCTAGTAAACATACTCTCGAACAGTATTATCAGACCACGTTTTATAAACTTCAATGAGTTCTATAAAATCCCATATTATGGAAATTAGTTTTAAAATTTTAACGTTATATACGTAGAACAACTTATAACATTTCAGAGCCGCTTTAAAAATACAGAGGTAAAGGTAAAGGTAAAGGTTCTCTTGCTCGAAAGCCAGTCGAGTCCGACTCTAGGGTTGCGGTGCTCATCTCCGTTTCAAAGCCGAAGAGCCAGCGCTGTCCGAAGACGTTTCCGTGGTCATGTGGCCG